TGCTTCCCAGGTGCGTCTCATTCCTTGATTACCCTGCCTGTGTATTTAGTCCCACCTGTTGTCTTCGTCTCTTGTCGGATCCTCGTCGTGTGTCATTTGTCGTCTGTCTGCCTGCCATCACAGTCGTACTGTAAAGTCCTGTGTTGGTTAGCTCCCTTATTCAGTCCTCAGTTTTTCAGTTGCTACCGGTAATTAGCTATGTGCTAAACTCTCTGCCGTGCCGCCTGTGTTGGACTGTTTGAGCTCTCTTTATTAAATCATCTTCATCTTCATCACCATCATCTGGGTCTCAGCATTTGTTCTCACCACCACCCCATGACAAAACCAGCATGTTTTCTGCTTCCTAAATGCCAATATAATGAGAATTTTTAACATTTTGTTCAGATTTCCAAGTTGGTATTTGACAGAATAATTTTTTTAGCTTTCTGATGTGGTTCAAACATTTTGAGTTTCCTTACAGAAGATGCTTAGAATAGTTTGTTGGAGTTCTGACCCATTCTTCACTGCAAAAACACAAAATCTTACAGAGTGTTTTTGTCAGTTTTCTAGAGGAAATATCTTCGTATGCTTAAAATAAGACTAAACTAACTTAGATACAGATAATATTGTTCATTCTGACTGAAACAGGAGATGTTCTACAGTATTTATGGTATTTTTCAGTGATGATTGTTTCTGTTGCTGAAGGTTTTAGCTGTTTGCACCATAATGTACAGTATTATGCAAGCATCAGAACTGTTCCAACTGATTTTTTTCTAAAGCAGCTGCAGCACATATGTGGGTATTTTTCATCCGTCACCCCAGAAATAATTATAGCAGCAATTAGCCTTTGTGTTTGTGAGCAGTGAGCTCTCACTGGCCGCCCTTGTGCGTTTAAAGTGGATCTTTGGGCTTTTTTCCCACAGCAATGAGCTGTTTGTCCTTCGACTTTTTGAAACGGCTCGGAGTGAAAATATCGAGGTGATAAATGGAAACACGCAGAGATGAACTCTGCAGGGCGGAACACAAACATGACAACATTTCAGAAACAAAAACAGCATTTATGGAACACTGGAAATGAAGAAATGTTTTGTCATATAGTGTAGTTTTACACTTCACACTAATTAATGAAGCAGCCATAAATTAATTAATCTAATTTGATTATTTATTTAGAGGGGAAATTGAAGTACTTATGTTTCTGCTACCAATCCTAATAAAGTATAAAAATATTCTTAAACTAAACTTGACTTTTTAGCAATCAGTATAACTACAATGAAACACAGCAGTCTAATTTCCTCATAGCATTCTTCAAAATGGGAAAAACAAGAGAACATGCCATTTAAATAAGGTAGATGTGTGTTGATTCTTATAAATAAGGAATTTAATGGCTCAAATCAGATCTTTCCACCCCCAAAAAATAAAAATCAGATCTGTGCCACTTCCATGTGTGGAACTATATTCAATCCGATAATCTTCAAAGTGTCTGATTGGTCAAAACAATCTGCTGCTGGCCAATAACAAACTCATGTCTTCTCTGGCAGCCATTTGTTCAGTGCATAAAGAGTTAAAACCAATTGACCAAATGTTCCGGAACTCAGCTTTGGTTGCTAGGTAACGGGGCTAGGCTCTGTTTTGGTTGCTAGGTAACGGCGGAGTGCCTGCTGTTTATGAAACAACTCACCAAAAACATCAACATGTTGCCTAAAAAGGCTGGGTGTTTTTTTAAGTACTTTGACTGTTTTAGACCCAAATTGAAGAATAAAAACGTTCAAAAAAATGAATTTTAAATAATAGGTTACCTTAAACTCGCACTCTTACATGTGAGTGTTGAAAAATAAACCTGTTTCCAACATATATTTCTATTGTTGATGCGAGGAGAATACATGTCACGATAAATTTTTCTGGACAATAAATTGTCCAGAGGTTATTGTGTTAAATGATTATATTGAGCATTTTCATCTAATATAATGGCAATCGCAAAATAATGCAAGAAAACATTCTCAAAGATCAATAAACGTTAAATTCTAATGAACATTTAACACTGAAACTGGAAGGCATTTTAAATATTAAAAATAATTAAAATAACAGAAATAACAAATAAAATGAATTGTTAAGATTCTCATAAACAGGGCTGGTTGAGACCCAAACACCAGACTGAAGACTTTTATCACTTCTACCCAAAATGATAAATTACTGAGCTTGTTTTAATTTATAATGCAATTCATTGGTTTAATGTGACAGGCCTAACCCTACCCCCAGGTCGTTTTTTTTTTTTTTTTTTTTTTTTAAAGAAAAAACGACCTATAAAGTCGTAACTTTCCCATTTTTCCAATGGGAAATCCGACTTTTTACAGCGTTCCAGTTGATTTTTCTGACTGGGAAATCTGAATTTCCCAGTAAAGCTGGAACGCAGCGTGAGAACTGCTCAGTGGGTCGGGGGAAGAGGTTCTGTGCAATCAGGTCAGTCTGGGACCAAAACATTGTTTTCATGTTGGAACCCTGATAACGGATCCATGTTTGCTCGCCGTTTCCATCCAGTTCAAATATTTACTGGAGCCGGGAAAAAGTGGAAAAGCTTTCATCATCAGGTCCAGAACCATGCGGAGGGTGGCACCATCCGCTCCAAGCCCCAACCATGAACCTCCAGCTGAATTATCATTTCCATTACAGCAGATCACACACGGAGGCTTTAAAGGTGTTTTTAGCTAAATCTGCGGTAAGGAAGATCAGATCCTGTGCAGCGGAGGAGGGAGTAAAACCCAAAGCCTCAGAGCTGAAACGTAAATCTCTGCTTCATAAATCTGCTGGGACTCGATTCCACCAAGGATCAAAGTTTTCCCTCTAACAGGAGACCCATCCCATGTTTTGTTGGACTTGAGGTTTGTAGTTTAAGGGAACTACAAGCTTCTTAAAAAGCAAAACTAAAGATTTATAACGGCACAATAAAGTTTGATTTAAGCCACATCAGAATGACAATGAATTCTGGGAATTTTATGAGATCCTCTTGAGAAACAACTGGCAGACTGACGCGATCCATGATCTCCAAGTCTTTACGACGCGTTTTAAAGGAATTAAACCATAACAGACTTCGTGTCACTTGATTAAATTCATGAAAACAGGATAAAACTCAAAGGTTCAGGATGCTAAAACAATACAACTATTGTTGCAGCTGCACTTTCAAAACGTTAAAAGTCCAGCCGTCGTTTTCTTTGTTCAGCTTGTTGAATATTAATTAAACCGAATGGAAATGAAATTAATTGAATATGTTATTTTAATTAAAAAAAAATGATGGGTAAGAATAGATTATGACGCATTTTTTTGGCAAAATGACGCTAATCTCCACTCGTATGTCTCTGCCTTACCAGATGTACGAAACTGAAACAGCTTTACGTGACGTAAACATCTGACGACATTACGATTTGCTCTGGTTGAGTCGCTTCAGACCAGTAGACAAAAACTAATTTATATTTTATTTCTGCAACATTCTAAAAATTTGCTACCGTCTCCATGGTAACACACCATCTTACTTAAAACATTTACGATCAACAAATATCTTCCTTCCCAAATGTTTTGTCAACCACATCACCTAACCAAATCTAACAAAATGTATGTCAAATTTTTTGTGCTACGTTTGTGCAGCATAATTTTCTGCTTTGAAGATCTTACTGAAAGTTTGTCGGTGAAAAAGAGAAACCACATTACCCACATCTAACAAATTAGTGTAAATGTTCGTTTGTGTCTCCATAATTTTAAAGACATTAATTAAAAGGTTCCAGAGATCATCAGAGGTCAATTTACGGCATTTCCATTTGTGCTGCGTTTCCTTTGGAGATAATGATGATGACCTCTGGAAACCTTTGTATTAATATCTTTAAAATGAAATTAGCGGCACAAAGGAACAGCTTTGCAGCTCAAACATTTGACATCAGACGATGGAAATGCAGCATACATTCGACCCGTTTTCCCAGCCTGCTATGGAGGAATTCTTCTTCTTCTTCTCATTAATTTGCTGCTTCTCATCTGCCGCTGGCCTCAGAACTGGCCGCTGTTTACATGTGGGGCATTAGGAGGGCTGATGGAGGTCAGAGGTCACTTGGATACTTCCTGTTCTCCACATGTTCTCCCAGTAACGCTGTCACGCTGGCTTTAACCTCGTTCTGTGATCAGATTTTTACGACATTCCAGTTTTTCTCCCGTTTGGGAGGCTGATGTGGATCCCAGAGGGCGGACTGAGCGATGCAGCTGATGAGAAACGCTGGCGGTCACTGGGAACCGACACGGATTCGGTTCTGCTCAAACATCATCACTTCCTGCTCTAAAAGCAGCTTTTAAAGCAGGACAACCAAACCAAATGATAATCAAAACAAACTCAATGATTTCCATTTGCATCTAATTCTGGATGATAAAAGTCTTGAAACTAACTAAACCATTTTTTGAAGGATAATTTTGACCGCATTTAATTTATTTTATTTGTTGTTTCTGTTGTTTTGTTTATTGAACTCAGATATGTAAAATGTTCATTAAAGTTTGAGAATGTGTTCTTGCACTATTACTATTATATTACCTTAAAATTGTCTCAAAACTACATTATTGTTTATCACAATAATTTCTGGGACAATTTATCGTTCAGAAAATTCAATAATTGAGGCTGAAAATTCAACACAGAAATTTGAAAAAGAAAGTACACCCTCTTAACTCTGGGATTTCCTCATCAAGACATATTTACAACTTTCTAAAGTTGTTTAAATCACATTAACAGAAACATTCAGACCCTAATTAAACCAAACAGCTTGGTGATAAAATGTACGGCTTCAATAGGACTTAGAGGGAAAATGTCAGCAAAAGGAATATTTTGTTCTGGATTTTTGCAGGTTCTTCCTACTTCTTGGTTCAGTCAATCAAAGGTCCGTCATTAAGTATTTAACCTAATTTAAATCTGAGGAAAACAAGGCGGTGTTCCCAAACGGAAACGTTTTGCTTTTCGGATCAGAGAAGCGTCTCATCAGGAAATCAGAGCTCCTTACTTTGGTCTGGATCCTGTTGACCGGACTGGGAGTCTGGACCTGCGGTTCTGATGGGGTTCTGTGGAAGCAAGTTGGTAGAAAACAACAAACATTTTTTACAAATCAATCATAAATGAAGTTCAGGAGAATCTGTGACTGAGGAGGAAAGTTGGTAAATTTCAGCTGCTGTGGTTTTCTTCCAGAAACCAACCAAACCGTTTGGGCAACATGTTCCCCTCCTGGCCTGTGGGGGCGCTGCAACAAGAACCACTGTAGGAAACGATACAAAAACATAGGAAGCGCAACTTCGTTAGTCATGAAATATAAACAAAATGGAGCAGCGCCAGGTTTTAACGATTGGAGGGTTCCTCTTTTTATGGAGCTTTTTGTTATTTAATGAAATATTGAAAACCGAAACTGACTAAATATTTTTGGTAACTGAAATAAATAAAAACAGTAATTAATGTGGAAAAACTATAACTATCTAGAACTATAAGCATTGTCAGGAAATAACTTTTAAATAAATCTTTTAAAGTCTAACAGATCAGCAGAGTTTGGTGTTAACTGCTTTAGGAGTATTTTTCCTACATGAACGTTTTACTTTTATTATGAAGTATTTCTGCTCTTACTTGAGTAAAATTTCTGGATTTTCTCCCCACTGAATGAACAACAAACATGTTTTAACCAAACCTTCACCACCATCTGCAGATTAGTCAAAGTTTCTGAAGTTTTTTATTTAAGAAACTGATTTGGAGACATTTTCATTTTGACAGATTTTATTATTTATATTTTTTATTGTAATTTCTATAATTAAAATACCAAAATTTCCACTTACCTTCATATTTTGATCCATGTGATTATGTAATTTTTAAATGTTAATGACTGATAATTTGAAAGTTACCAGACACTTTTTGTAAAATTTTCGCTCCATTTCTCTGGAGTTTTTCTGCTCCCACTTCCTGTTTCAGACGCTGAAATGCTCAACATGTCTGAAACGTTCACTGACCTTCTCAGTCAGTCCGGTCCTCGCTCCTCCTTCTCATCGCAGCTTTAGGTAGCCTTTCTGACTCCGTTCCCTCTGGGGTTCTCCAGCCCGTTCAGCAGAGGAAACAAAACAAAGCGTTCGCCTTGAGAGAAAAATATATCTGCAGAGGAAAAACTGACATCTGAAGGCAACACAGTTCAAAGTACCGAGCCAAGGACGCTGAACACGAGTTATTCAGGCATCACTGTTGTTGTTCTGAGATGATTAAAAACCCGTTACGTCTGAATGAAGATCGTTTGCTTTCACAAAGTTTTCAAATCTGATTCCAGCGTCAGATTTTCAGTTTGGTTTCTTCCTCCAACTGGAAGAAATTTATTATCTCTTTAAAGGAAAAGCCAAACATTTCTTTTTTCTCCTACTAAACAAATAAATCTATAATTAATTTTATCTGAATATAACATAAAACATCTATGATTACTATGTTATAAACAGCTTTAAATTTGAGATGTTATTTGACAAAACACAACTGGAGATGATGATAAACGTTTTGTCCTGAAGTTTTAAACCCGTCTGAAAAACGGTTTGGATTTGTCACAAAAGACAAAATGTTTCAAATAAATAATGCAAAATAAATGACAGTAACCAAATGAGACCTGTAAATAGATCTGAATGGAGAGAAACAGCAGAAAAAGAACAGATTGTCCTTTCTGGGTTTTATCCAAGCAGGTGGCGACCAGAAATGTAGAAAAACGCCTCCAGGAAATCAGGAAAAAGTTCAAGATTTTTTCCCATTTATGAAACTGAAATCCTTTTTTCCCCACACGAAGGTTTTTATTTCTTATTGTTTTGGCTTAGAGATCATAAAAACCTAAAATTCAGCGTCTCAGAATTTCCTCAGATACATAAAAATGAAATGTGTTTAAAAAATTTCTACACTCAGTTATGGGTTGTGGCTCCTTTTGCATGAATTTTCTGCCAGCGCTGATCGATTCTATTGTTGTTAATCAATTTGTTCGCCTGTCTGTCATCGGTTTGAAGCAAACAATACTGGAGCATTCCTCCTCATTGTTGAGCCGCTTTGTGAAATCACATCAAAACACAAAACCGGATAAGAATCAAATTATGCCCCAAGATGCACAATGGAGGAGAAATCCTCGAGCCGAAACAAAAGTTTTATCACGAGAATCAGGCCTGCGATTGTGCTTAAGAACCACAACAAAAACCGGCTGCTGCAATAACAGGAAACTGGTTTGTTGTTTTTTTTTTGGAAAGCTGATGAGTGAATTTATTGTCAGAAGTGTCAGATTACAGGGTGCATGTTTGATGGAGTTTATCAGGGATTATGAGCTCAGTTTCAGATGTAATATGCAATAATTTGATAATATTGACACAAATACAAGTCTACAGGGAGCATTTTACATATATATATATATATATATATATATATATATATTTATATATATATATATATATATGTTTTTGTCTCTCATTTCAGACAGTAATACTGAAACTATATGGCATTACTAATCATTAAATATATGAAATATTGTCACCTTTCAACAATAATTCATTTTTTATTTTATTTATTTTATTATAAACTTATTTTTTGAAAAAGAAAAACATTTTAGCAAAAAAAACAAAAAAAGCCATTTTTTTCAAATCAAATGAAAAAATTTTTTTTCCAAGTGAATTTAGAAAAAAAAAAGAAAAAAAAAAGGGAAAAATTGTTTTTACCCAAAATATTTTGGCAAAAGTAGAATTATAATCACTTCCACATAATTTTATATTTTGGTCTATCTAATGATGTAATTTTTAAATTATGTTTGAATCAGTTCCTCAGTCGCCTTTTTACTGAAAACTTTTTTAATCCGACTTGCATCATTTTTTGGACGGATTCTCTTGAGTAAAAGTTTTGAGTATTTTTCTCACCTCTGGAAATATTTATCTCTACATATGAAATCTAGTTTCACTTTCTGAATTATGTGATAAAATATTTTATTTACTCCTCTAGTACGAGAGTAGATTTATTAAACTTGTAAAACCCATCTATAATTAATATGATTAATAATTAGAGTTCTAATTCAACATCACTGTTAGAGGAAAAATAAGAAAAACAGAGACAGACTGTTGATGTAAAGGAAACCCAAACACATGTGGTCAACCTCCAGGCACTGAACTGAAACTTTGACTAAGCCTTTTGGTTTTCTTTCCCTGTGGCGCTGAAACAGCAGATAATCCAAACGTTTGAACTTTAAACCAGGAAAGACGGAGAGATTTATACGCCACACGGCAAAAACAGAGACACAAATATGACAGAGATGATCAAAGGAAACGGGAAACATCTGAAGCTCATCACCAAATTTCAAACAAGAGCAGCAATTAGACAAATACCAGGTGTGGCTGAAGGGTGAATACAACCAGCAAAACAGACGAAGATAAACACTGGAGAACTACGATTACCCTGAAGTCTCTGAAATAACCACATGGTTTAATCAGAAGATGGTAAAAATCAAGGAAACAACATTAGCTAGAGCTAACGACATTACTTAGAGCTCACACCATTAGCTAACAGCCATTAGCTACAACTAACACCAGCAGCAGAAGTTAATTCCATTAGCTAGAACTAAAAACACCCAGATGTATTTTTGGCAACAAGTTAATGTCTGGAAAACCTCCGCTAAGATGTCACATTCGAGTGGAGCTGTTACCTAGCAACCGTATCAAAGCCCAGCCCGTTACCTAGCAACCCAATCAGAGCTCCAGCATGTTTGGTCAGCTGGTTTTAGCATTGAAGGCACTGTACAATGGCTGCTGGAAAAGACTTTGTCTGATTAGGTTCTTTCATTGGGACATTTTTCAGTTATTTTTTTGTTTTTGGCTAAATAAAACTTTACTTTCCAGCCTTTGGGACAGACGAAACAAAGGCCATACGAAGAATAAATTCAAAGTAAAACCTGCAGTGAACCGCACTGCTAAAGCACACACACTTATCACCTCCACATGCACAAAGCTTTTCCACCATCAGTCGTCCCTTCTGCCGGCCTCCTTCAACACTTTAAGGAAGGAACACGAGGAGGAGATGATTTAAACCTAATAACTGAAAGAAGTATTAATTCCTTTCTTTCTGCTCATGTCTTGGACGCAGCTGGAACATGGCAGCATAAACACATTCCACGCAAATTAGTGACATGCTTCTGTAGTGAAACGGCTGTCTGGCTTTAATTTGTGAAATAAAACAATGCAAGATCTAAAAAAGCTGCAGAAAGTTTTTAAAAAACGTGAAGCAAAGGTCTTTCAAGCATCCTTTGAAATCTGAATCTGCTTCGCTCTTCAGTAAACATTTTGTCTGTGTTTTTATTGAAGGTAAAAGAAAATCAATATGTCTCTTACAAAAACAAAAATCTCCAGTTTAGATGTTTGATTTGTTACTTTTCAAAAGATAAAATAACTTGTAAATCTTCATTTTTTATTAAAACTCTTCAGAACATTTTAACTGTTTCCTGACGAGGCTTTCGGACTCAGACGGCTTTGATTCTGGTTTCAGTTCTTTGTGTTTGTTATTGGAGTCGCAGCTAATTTACAGAAGCAGAGAATAAACCTGCTGCTGCTGCTTCGCCTCTTTCCAAAGCCTGCGATGGCGATTAAAGTGTTTAATGTCTGTTTTGGGAGAGCTGCGGGGTTTTCAGGGGAGGATCAGCGCGGTTCTTAAAACCCTTCTTCACCTTGCGCCCAGATTATATGATCTGACATGATCCGTGTTTGATCCTTGCTTTATTACAATCGCTCTCTCGGGAAGCGGGCGAAACAAGAGTAGCCTCAGGGAGAAGTTTACTGACTGAGCCCCGGCGTGGGCAGACCCTGAAATAAACCCCAAGGAGACGAGTTGCTACAAAGCAGCAGCTGCACGTCTATAGTTTACTGCTTGGTTCGAATTACGAGGATAGAAACTTCTGGTTGGAGGATTTTTAAGAGTCAGGTTCCAAATTATTGTTATTGACATCATATTTTGGAAATATGAGTTTTAGGATGCTTTCATGTTAATCCCGTTCCGGTCCGTTTGTCTAGAAAGTCCGGTTCGTTTAGCGAGTGTGAATGCTAAGCTAACTCTGGTCCGCCAGATGATCCTGGTCTCGGTTCGGTTGAAGTGAACTTGGTTTGGTTCCAATGGATATTAAAGGGACTGGAGACCGCTCCAAAAGCGGGAAGTGGACTACAGAGCAGGGCATTCTGGGTAAATACAACCAAAACAAATGTTGTTAGCCTAGCGCTAGCAGCAGAAATGGCTCCTCGTCTTTAGGCAAAGACTAAAGAGAAATCCTCCAAACGCTAAAATCTGACACGTCCATTTTGTTTCCATTTGGTGAAGAAGGAAATTGTTCTCAGTGTCTTCAGAGGTTTTTGTGTCATTTCCTTCAGTGGTTCTTGGTGCAGCGCCCCCACAGGCCAGGAGGGGAACAGGTGGTTTGACTCAGCAGAGAGAGAAACACAGCAGCTGGAGGTGTTGAAGTTTTGATCTCAATCAAACTGAATCTACTGGACTACCAGGAGGGAAAACATCCTCCTGATAATCTCAGGACAAATTCCTTCATTTCCCACAATCCAAATGGATCCAGGAAGTCTGATGAACAAGCTGAGCGCGTGTTATCAGTTTCTTCCACCGCACTGTCTGGGCCCTTCGCTGCTTTTAAACTAAAAGAAGCAAACATTCAAAACAAATCACTCTATATGCATTTCACTTTCACAATTCAATTAAAAGCCTAAAATTAAATCTGAAAATAATTCCCAGGCCCATTCAAAGCATAAGTTTGGCTTCTTGGAGGATTTGGCCAAGACTGGAGCAGATAATCTGTTAATGATCCCGTTATCCATCACGTTCCTTCAACAGATTATCGGAGTTCAGCTCAAACAAGCAGCAGAGAGGAATCGCCCGGCGGCGAGTGACGCAGCATCCTGCAGCACACAAAACACACCGAAACTACGGCAGCACATGAGTTCAAGGCAGGAAGTGTGTTCCTGTGTGCGTGGGTGGGATATTATCTTATCAGTCAGGAGCCTCGTTGCTGGAGGTTTAATGTCCAACTGTTCAATTATGGTCGTTTATCATCACAGAGCGTTAAAAGCTGCACAAACCGCCGCTGCTGCTTTAAAGCTGGAGATAAATCTGACAGTAATAAGTTTTTCTGCTCCGTCTGAAATGCTTTTCAGACGCATTTTTCATCCTTTTCAGACAGAAACATGAATGTGGATTAATGGATTTCTGCCACAGAGCGCAGCATGATGTTTGGATGTCCTAATCAAATACTCTGCTGCCGAGTTTCTGCCACCAAAGCGTTGGATTTTTTTTTTCTGTTCATGTTTCAACTGAAAATGCACACAAGCTGTTGGAAGCGCTTCAGTGAGGGCAAAGCTGCAAAAAGCGACACAAACAAATTACGCAACAATGGTGGAAATGTGGACCGTCTTTGTGAAGAATGAAAAAAATGACAAAGAGGAGGAAAAATGACCGCACATGAAAAAAACCTGGTGAAAACTGCTCACAGATGCAGCTGGAACAAAAAACAAGACGAAATCAGAAGTAAAATACAGAAAAATCATTATGTTATATCAACAGGAAGCAATTAAATAACAAAAGAAACACACAACAACAAAACCGGCGGAAAATAACTGGAAAACAGAAACTCGGCTACTGAAAGAGACAGAGAGAGAAAAACAACAAAAACTAAAACTACATGT